CGGATGGCCCCGCCTCATCTCAGGGTGACCCTCCCCGGGGTCGGCCAACTGCTTTGAAAAGTTTTATGGTCGCATCTCGAGGGCCTTCAGTGCGATCACTTAGGTCGCTCGAAAGTTCTTCAGCTCCCTCCAGAGTTCTACAGCGGGTGTACTATTTCTAAAAAGAATGGAGTTCGTGAACAGCAATCTGGTGGACAGCTGGAACAAGGCACTGGTCATGAGGCACAACAAACAATATTTTTATTTGTATTGTCTGTGAAGAAGGCAGAATTCCCTTCAGCTATCTCTTGGCACCCATCCAGAAGCGCGAGTACTTTAAATGTGGTTATCTGGGGCTTCCGGGCTAGCTGTTTCTACAAATATTCAGTTATTATAAAGCAGCTAGCATTTGCTACGCATGCTTTGTAAGAGGCTCACGTTCAGATGGTAAGGAGCCAGAGACAGCTCTCTTCCAAACTCACTTTATTATTTTTTTAAGGGAGATTTTTGCTATAGGGCACCCGCACTTGTCAGAAAGAGCAAGACAGAAAAAGGAAGATCACCCCACAGGATGGATGACAACGTGCAATCCCTTCTCCTCCATTCTCCTCTTGTCTCCTCCATTCTCCTCTTGGCACCTTGGGCATCCAAGAACACGCTCCTGGCTTTAAGTCTCCAGATCTGGCACTCCAACCGTGGTCAATTACGTGGGAGTCCAGTGACATAACCATTATGCCATCTGCTGATCCCAGCCAAACTCACTTGATTCTAACCAGTCTATGAAAGTGGTGAGGTAGGAGCGATGTCTTTATCCGCTTTACAAATGAGGAAATTAAGGTTCGGTGAGCTAATGTGCCTCTCAGTATTGAAGGTAAAGGCTACCCACTCTGGTAAAGGTTAGACAGTTTACTAGGAAAATACAGGAACAGAAGGCCCCAAGGCCCTAGTGGACTTCAGACTTAAAAGTATTTAATTTACCTTTTTTTGAGCTGTAAAATGAATACTTGAGTTTTCCAAAGCCATGGATACTGGGTTCCCTTGAACCCAGCTCTGGACAAACGGTCTGTAGGAACAATGCAGAGAAGAATACAGTAACCAATAGGAGAGTCTGAACCTACATAAACATTCACCCCCAATGGAATGATGTGATGTGATGTGCTGGAGTTAAGGATTGGCTGAACCCTGTCTCTATTAGATAACGCCTAATTTAAATAGAGTCTAGTGGTCACTAGTGTAAAGAATGTTGGCAACCACCACAACTCTTAAATTTTAAGTTTTTCTTTAGATTTTGATTCTAAGGACCCCTCCTTTCTTGAAACTGGATTTCCCTGAAGTGTGCCATAGAGAAGTCTTTTATGTTTATTAACCTTTTAGTTGCCTTTCCTTACTCCTCTTCCTGTATCCTTTAGCTGCTGGGTTTCTTTAGTATTTCCTCTTTCTTTTTTTTTAATCTTTTGTTAAAAATTTTTCCAGAGGGTATATGCACTTGCCAGAGACAGAGGGAAAGTGTGAAAGCACCCCCCACCATGGGCCATGGTCAGACCCAGTTTCTTCTCCATCTCTCCCTCTTTTGGGGATTTTCTGCAAGCACGCCTACGCACAAGCACTACTTGGGTGAATGTTTCAAGCCTTCAGGTCTAGGACTCCACACAATGAGTCATGTGAGATCCAGCTGCCTTTAACCACCTTACCACTAGCTAGAACACTATTTCTACCTTCTAATGCTCTTCTCATCTTACTCTTTACCTGTCTTTCCCTGGGACACTTGTTTAAAAATATATACCTATTTTTAAAATACCTTTAGTATACCCTATACCCTAACAACTCTCTTGTAAACCCCATATCCATGTAACTGTATATACCCCCACCCAGATATTCAATATCATGTTGGACCATAAACTCAACAAGCCCAAACAAAACAAAACTCAAGTCCAAACTTTTGTGTCATGAGCGCATTAGCATCATTAAATTAGAAGAAATACAATCAGTCTTACACCAATAAGCTGTAGGTTTTTCATAGACACCTTTATCAAGTTGAGGAATGTCCTTTTTACTTCTATTTTGCTGAGAGTTTTTATTAAGAATGAATATTGGGGATGGCAAGTGGCACAGTGGTTAAGGGTGCTGGGCTCCCACATGGCTGACCACAGTTCAAGTCCTGGACCTGGTGACTTCCTTTTTCACTTTCCATCTCTCTCTGGTCAAATTTAAATAAATAAAATAAAATAGGGACCAGCAGTTAGAGTAATGGCTATGTTGCTGAATGCCCATGTAGTCAACCGTGGTTCGAGTCCTAGACCCAGTGGATTAAACTCACACCGGGAACGTGTGCATGCGTGCCCAAAATCCCGAGAGGAGAATGGAAGAGAAGGGATTGCGGCATGGCCATCCCCCCTGGGGGGTGATTTCTTGCTTTCTCTCTCTCTCTTTCTACTCTTTCTCTCTCTCTCTTTCTAGTGAGTGGATGCACCCTATAGTAAAAACCTCTCCTAAATTAATTAATTAATTAATTAATTTTAAAAATAATTCTTTTAAAAAAACCAAAACATTTTTTAAAAAGTATTGTTTGCAATTTTTTTTCTACGGTTATTGAGATGTCTATACAAGGGGTTTTTTTGGTTTTGTTTTTTTGCTGTTTCAGTTAGTTAATGTGATGAATTACAATCATTGATTTTTTGTTTTAGTGGGGAGAGGCTTTTGCTATAGGGTGCATGCACTCGCCAGAAAGACAGAGACAGACAGAAAGCAAGAAATCACCCCTGGGGGGATGGCCACACTGCAATCTCTTCTCCTTCATTCTCTTCTTGGGATCTGCACACGTGCCCCGCGTGAGTTTAAGCCACCGGGTCCGGGACTCGAACTGTGGTCCACTACATGGGAGTTCAGTGACAGCCATTATACTATGTGCTGGTCCCAACATTCATTGATTTTTGAATGTTAAACGTTAAACTAGCCCGAGCCCTGCATTCTTGGAATAAACATCAAGAAATCATTATGTATTTATACACACACACACACACACACACACATACACACACACGATTGTTTGCTAAACTTTCAGTTTAATGCTTTGTATTTATGTTCATGAGGAATATTGGTTCATAGTTTCTGCTAATGATTTTGACTGATTTTGGTAAGAGTAATATTGCCCTCAAAGAATAAATTGAGAGTGTATATATTAATAAAATTATTATTTTTGGAAGACCTGATGAAGAATTGATTTTCTTTTTTTTGAGAGAGAGTTTTTTTTGCTATAGGCTATTTGGGCTCCCCAGAGAGACAGAGACAGAAAGCATGAAATCACCCCCCAGGAGGATGGCTATGCCACAATCCCTTCTCCTTCATCTTCCTCTTGTGATTTTGACCACACATGCACAAATACTAAGGATGAGTTTTAAGCCACCAGATCCAGGACTAGAACCAGAGTCAACTACATGGGAGAACATTACACCATCTTATGGTCCCAGTTTTCTTTCTTTCTTAAATGTTTGGTACCATTTACCAATAAAAACATCTGGATCTAGAGTTTTCCTAATGCGGAGGATTTTAACTATAAATTCCATTTTTTCGCCTTTTTGAGATATATATAGAGAAGAAAAGGAAAAGAACGGTAGGTATTTTTAAGAGGGTCTTTGCTGTGTTGTCATCCTCCTGCCCCAGCTTCCCAATTATCTAGGATTATAGGAGGGAGGGGCATAATCATGTGTTCAGATTGAGTTGGGACCCAAACCTGGCCTTCTCTGTGGCTTCCAGCCACCCAACTGGTAACACTACCTGTGTGCCACCACAGCTGTACCAAAATTCCATTTCAAAAAATAGGTGTAGGAGAGCTAGCAGGTGGTGTGATGGTTGAGGCACCAGACTCACACATGGCTGACTGAGGTTCGAGTCCCAGACCTTGCAGCTTGCATTCTCTCTCTCTCTCTCTCTCTCTCTCTGGTGAGTGTGCATACCCTATAGCAAATTAAAATAATAATGATGATACATAAAAATTAAATAATCCTCTAAAAAAATACATTTAGGGCTATTCAGGTTTTACATTTTCTCTTAAATGAGCTTTGGAAATATGTCTTTGAAGGAACTTGTCCATTCTACCTAAATTGTCAGACTTATAGGCATACAGTTGTTTATAATTTTTCCTTATCATCCTTTTAATATCTAGAACTTGGGGTGATATTAACTTTCTTATTCCTGATATTGGTTATTTCTGCTTTTCCTCTATTCTTTATCAGTCTGGCTAACGATTTACCAATTTTACTGCTGTTCTCAAAAAAATCAGCACTTAGTTTTATTTATTTTCTCTATTTGGATGCTTTTATTTCATTGATTTTCACTTTGATCTTTATTTCCTTTTTTTAAAAAAAATTGTAACAGAGTGTATGTACTCACTGGAGAAAGAAAGAAAAAGTGAGAATTCACCTTCCATCCCCAGGGGATAGCCATCCTGCAATCCCGTTAGCCTATTTGTGTCTTTATATTTTTAATTTGTATTTGATTTTTAAATAATTACTTTATTTAAGTTTATTTTAATTTGACTAGAGAGGGACAGAGTGAGAGAGAGAGAGAAGGAAAGTGAGAAAGCAAGCCTCCACATCCAGGCCTTGAACCATGGTCAGCCATGTGGGAGTCCAGCGCCCTTAACCACCATGCTACCTGTCAGCCCTTTATAGTTAAGGTGTTTCTTTGAATGGACACACCGCAATCCCTTCTCCTCTCTTCTCCTCATGGGATCTTAGGCACACACACACAGGCACCCAGCATGAGTTTAAGCCACCAGGTCCAGGGCTTGAACCACAGTCGACTACATGGGAGTCCATTGACATAGCTATTATGCCAACTGCTGGTCCCTCATGTCCAATATCTTGATATCATTGCTTTAAATGTTTTGAGTTTTTCATTTTTGTTGTTGCTTCATGCAAGAGGGCAAGTGTAGTCCCTGTTACTCCATCTTTGGTAGCAGAAATCTGGAAGCCTCTTTCAATGATTATTTGAGGCATCTTAAACCTATAAGGTCCTCTTTCTCTTTTAGGTATTTTTGTTAAAGGTAAACTTTGCCCTGAATTCAGAACAACTCAGGTTGCATTAAATAGTGATCCTGATTTTTTAAATGTAACTGAATCATTAGTTTTGGAGATCAACATATTTCTCAAGATACACTTGATAAAATGGACAGAAATTATACGTGATTCTTCAGATTTGGCATGCAGCATGTCATAAGATATTTATTTTAGGTATAACCCATGATCATCTTATTTTATCTCTCAAATATTTAACTTTCCCACTTTCCATTAACAAAAAAACTGACTTTCAAACTTACAAAAAAAATTAGCTGCCAACTCAAAATGTGGTAAGAGCGGTACCAGCAGTTAGTGTAATGGCTATGTCGCTGGACTCCCACGTAGTTGACCGCGGTTCGAGTCCCGGACCCGGTGGCTTAAAACTCACGCCGGGCGCGTGTGCGTGCGTGCCCAAGGTCCCAAGAGAAGAATGGAGGAGAAGGGATTGTGGCGTGGCCATCCCCCCTGGGGGGTGATTTCTTGCTTTTTCTCTCTCTGTCTCTCTCTGTCTGTCTGGCGAGCGCACGCGCCCTATTAGCAAAAACCTCTCCAAAAAAGGGAAAAAAAAAATGTAGTAAGAGGTGCACACAAGTGTGTGTGTGTGCTAAAGAAAGCAGTGCCCACTGGGGCAGGGAGTGAGAAATCACCTTCCAAGGGGAATGGCCCCTAATCCCTCTCCTCAGTTCTCCTCTTGGAATTTTGGGCATGCACGTACACATGCCCAATGTGTTTGTCAAGCTACCAGGTCCAGGATTAGAACCACAGTTGGCCATGTAGGATCCAACACCTCAACCACCACGCCTCCTTCTGTCCCAAGATCTGCACAGTTTTTTTTTATTCTTTTAGGGTGTTCTATGAGTTTGAAAGGTAACCAAAAATTATCCTACAATACAAATTTGATCATATGTCCTTCGCTCAGAATCTTCTTACTGTGTTCCCATTACTCTCAGGATAAACTCCTAACTTCTACCATTGCTTATTGGCTACTGAGGTTTGCCTGGCCCCT